AAAAAAAAAAAAAAAAAAAAAAAGAAAGAAAAAAAAAAGAAAGAAAGAAAGAGAGAGAAAGAAAGAAAATCACCATGGTTTGCTTAAAACAACAGAAATGTATCCTCTCATGGTTCTGCGGGACAGAAGTCTAAGGTCAAGGTGCCAGCAGGGCCAGAGTTTTCTGGAGGCTCCAGGGGAGAATCAATTATTTGCCTCTCCCAGCTTCTGGAGGCTTCCAGCAGTCTGTCTTGTGGCTGTATCACTGCAGTCTCTGCCTCCATGGTCATACTGCCTCTGTTCCTTCTCTGTGGAATCTGCCTCTGCCTCTCTTATAAGGGCACTTGCCATGGGATTTAGGGTCCAACTGGTTAGTCCAGGGTGATCTCCTCATCTCAATATCCATTATATTTTTTTAAGACAGAGTGTCGCTGTGTTACCCAAGCTGGGGTGCAGTGGTGCAATCTTGGCTCACTGCAACCTCCACCTCCCAGGTTCAAGTGATTCTCCTACCTCAGCCTCCTAAGTAGCTGGGATTATGGGTACCTGCCACCATGCCCAGCTAATTTTCATATATTTTTTAGTAGAGATGGGGTTTTGCCATGCTGGTCAGGCTGGTCTTGAACTCTAGACCTTGAGTGATCTACTCACCCTGGCCTCCCCAAGGGCTGGGATTACAGGCATGAGCCACGGCACCTGGCCTCAAGATCTTTAACTTACATCTGCAAAGACTTTTCTTTCCAAATGAAATCACATCCACAGGTTCCAGGGGTTAGGATTTGGATGTATTTTTGGGGGGACCAGCATTCTACCTACTACACCCCCTTTGCCTGTAGATGGGCTCAACAGGACCCTCTGGGGTTCTCACAGATCTCTGGGCCAATAGCTGCTTGCTCCCAGCAGAACCAGCCAAGCAGGCTTCTCCCTGGGGGGAACACAGAGCTTGACTATTCAGGCAGGCTGGGGAGGGGGTGGTCAGTGAAGGCTTCCTGAAAGAAGTGGCAAGCTGAAAGATGACATGGATGACCCACCTAAGAGCAGGAGAGAGGAGAGAGCTTGACTGAGAGAGGCAGGCTGCGTGCACTCTCCAGATGAGAAAAGGGTGAGACACATGTTGGGGAAACTGAGGACGTTCTGTATGGCAAGAAAAGAAGACGGAGAGGGAGGTGAGGGAGTCAGTCTGAAGGGTTTGGTATCAGGGTCCTCATTTTCTAAGGACGACACGAAGCCAACAAAAGGTTTTCAGCCAGCAGATAACAAGACGATGGCATTTGTACTTTAGAAAGATCCCACTGGCTGTGACCTAGCAAACAGGATCTAGGGAGCAGATGGGAGGCAGGGAGGCCAGACAGAAGGCTGACGCCATGGTCCAGGCAGAGGCAGCGATGGCCGTGGCATTTTCCTGGATTTCCACTGTCTACAGGGCAGGTCCAAACCCCTCAGCGTGACCTCTCAAGAGCTCTCCCTCTTCTGGTGGCTGCTCTTTGGCTCTGCTTTGGGAAACTCCCCACCACCATTTTGCTCTGATGTACCCACCCAGATGCTCCACCCTCCTCTGGCCAATCCAAGGTGTTCTTCCGGGATTTCTGAACCGTGGGCACAGGGGATTGGTGTTTTCTCATCTCTTCCTGAAGAGACCTCACCCACCCAAAGCTCCTGGTCCCCAGACCCCCCAGGACTCTGTTCTTCAGGTCTTTCTTTGATCCCTTCTGCTTGCCAGAGTCAGTTTCTGTGGCTTACAGCCGGCTCTCTCCTAGTGCCTCTTCTGCCTCATCTCCAGCTGCTGGGCCCCTACTCCCTTTCCAAGATCTACCTCAAAGGGCACTCCTTCACAAACCACCCTGCCAGGCAGAGTGTCTCCATTGTTGGGCCCCCATAGGACACTCCTCGGTAGCATCAGTCATTCAAGCTTTTTGCCTTCCCTCCATTCCCATCAGATGGGGGCAATTCTTACAGGCTGGGACCAGTTCTTGCCCATCTTTGTCTCCCCAGTGCCCTCCCCGGAGCTGGCACCTAGCAGGGGTCTAGTGGGTGTTTGTTGAATGACTAAGAGAAGTCATTAGCCATCTGCTCTCCTGCAGGTTCAGATTTCATACTATGGACCCAGGACTCCACCAGTCAAAGCTCTGCTCTACCTCACCGGGGTGGGTAAGTGACAACCAGGATCCTAGGGCGCCATCTCATCCCCTACCCACTCTTAATCCCTGCAGGATATCTCTGCAGGAGAAACTAAACTGGAGTGTAATTTAGAGTGAGCAGAGAAAAAGCAAGGTTTCTAGCCAGACATCTTGTAGTTCAGAAGTATTCCATCCCTAGTCAGTGAACCATAAAGAAACGCAACGTGGGCGTGGTGGTGCAGGGAACTTTAATGACGTCTTAACATTTTATTTCTCAAGTTAGGAAGTAGGTACATGGATTTTCAATACATG